TCCCTCGATGCTTCAGCTTTTGGTGGCGTGATGATATTTTTTTGTGTTGATCTTACGGTTGTACTCTAAAGACTTGCAGTTATGGAGTACAGAAGATCGTGGATAATGAAACTTTATTTTTTTCCCAGCTGTACTATGAATAGTTTAGTATATTTGGCCAATAACTCATAATTTCATTCCTTGCGTTAAGCTTGTCTTAATTTAAATCTGTAAATATAGAATGAAATTGATCGTTTTTTTAAAGGGGAAAGTTCTTGAATGTGTAACTGTTGCTAGGAAGCGTGAAGCTGCTTCAAAAAGTTATGAAGAAGTTTTTCGAACAACTCTTTGACATTATGTACATACTTCCAAGCGTTATAATTCTATGTACAAAGAGCTACAGACATAAAAACATTGTAGGTGTGTAAACATGTTTATGTGATGTTTACGTTTCTTCTCGAGTTATCAGTAGAAGGCAAATAAAAGTTTGCAGTTAATTTTAGGATTCGACCTCCAAATTTCTATTTGTACAAGCGATCAACACATTTCTGTTTCGCTCTGTTGCCTGACTCTTTTTATATCACGAGAATCTCCTCCATGGTAACACTGGTAACAAGAGTTTTCTTGTGGGTATCTTTTTACACATGTAATCAATGGTTGGCTAAACTTACCTCTTCATTTCTCGATTAGCTCGTCGAGACTGCTCTGTCTCTCGTTTAAATTGATGTTGTTCCATTGCTATTTTGCAAATTCAGGGTTAGGCTACCTTTTTTTCCAGAGCAAGCCAGAACCAAACTCGCTTCAACTTTTTCAACATTGGATAATTTTTTTTTTCGAAACGCCAACTTTAAAGGAATTTACGACCTCTCTTTTGTATTTTCCTCTCATTGATGATTTCTCAGCAATTAATAGACCTTTTTTTGCAAATAGCCAATGTTTTCCGCATTTATTCATTGTTCAATTGTTCCTTGCAACAATGTTCGACGTACCTCCCTGTTGTCCGAAACCAAACGCTGCTGTGCAAACATGATTTTCACTCCTCACAATGCCATTGTAGCATTCGTCGCGCTTCCAATTCGTATTAGTCAAAATGAGATTTTGAAGGAAATTTTATACAATTTTCATGCCTTAAAAAGGAATTTCATACTATGAACGTATGTTTACAACAACATCATGCACTAAGAACGTGTGGGCGTGTGATGGAGGAAGCTTGTCAAGAAAATTGAATTTTCTCTTAACATCTGCGCTCATGTTTTCTTCTAAGGAACGTAAAGTATCGTTATGTTCCTATTTTTCTAGCAAAAAACACAAAATAGTTATAGAATCCCTACATCTCGTCGTTAAGAGTGACTAGTGGTAAAAAGTAATAAAGCCCTTTGTTAAACCAATCTCCCGTAATTTCTGAGCAAAGAAATCGTTCGAGCAGCATTTTCGTAGAGTTTCATAAGTAAATCCAATAACAAAACGAAACAATTTTCAGTTGTGAAACT